AACTTTAAATCTCTGGATGTTTTAAAATCTTAGCGGCTCAAAGCATACGATAGACGGGAAGTAACTTATACTGTTAGGTCTTCACCGCCTACCGCAGCTTAGTAGTTATGGCATCAAATCTAAAATATATAATTACTATATATTGAACATCTCAAGTATAATAATTTATTATTTTAAAATTTAAACTAAGAATATATGTAATAATAAATAATAAAAAAAACAATACACTATGTTTATATTTTATTATCTAAAATTAATAAACGTAAATTATTTAATAATTTACTATTTGCATTCACAATGAAACATATTATTTATGCTGTTATGACTTATATATTTTAAAACATTCGTTATCCTATAAATAACATAATGAAGATTGAACAATTTTACAGCACATGATGCGTTCATATTTCGACGCTCTAATAGTTTTATGATATAAGCAGATATACCTATGTATAACATGAACTATGGTTATGATTTAGATAATAATGTACGTCATGATATATAACGTAAACATCGTCTGAATAAAATCTTTTTTACCGTCTAATTTTCTCTTATACTATTAAAAGATTTAATTGAATATAACTAAATTTTTAGTATTTTATACAGATTTAGACATTTCATATACATTAAATTTAAAATATTAAAAAAAAAAAAAAATAAAAATAAATATGTATGCTAAAAGTAATAGTAAAAACTATAGCTATATTATATGAATATTATGAGTCAAATTAAAAATTATTATATAATACAGTTATAGGCGTTATAGCATATATATTGAATTTTTTATTTCTACAAATAGTTGTTTGACAACCTATTATTATGAAGACAGTTTAAGAGGTGTTTAGATGTTTTGATGAATCGACAGAGAGAAAAAAAATATCTAAAATACTTAAAGATTCGGTATTCAAACGTATCTAACAATATAAATTGCGATACATAGCATTAAAAGTAATTGATTTTTACAAACCGCGGTTGGTACCTTCTAAACGATTTACGGAAATACTAACATTGTTAGAATACCTAATCGAGAATAATTATTTCATCGGAACATCGCAATATTATGATGATTGTTTCTTCGTTCAATCCAATACCATCGTATAATACATGAATAGACGAGTGTAATAGTCCAGTAAAATAAAATCAATTAATCAATCAATTAATTTTTTTTTTTTTTTTTGAAACCTGTAACTAATTACAAAATTAAGCGCACATACGTTCTCACACCGATTGTGCAGCTTGTACTGAAGTGGTGGTATGCTGAAAACGGTTGCGTTTAAAACTATACATCATTTAAACATAATATAAATTACAGGTTTGCAGCGTATGTAATATGCTATCACAGGTAGGCATAGGATATTGGTCACACACGTTTACCTGATAAATAAGACAGAATCTCCAATATACCTATAATTTAACGCACAGTCGACAGTCAAGCTCAAGCACATTATCGTCCGCTATCCAAATTTGACTGAGGACAGAAAAAAATCCACATACCTACCTGATATTCTATGTAAAGTAATAATGAGACATTTTGTGAATTATAAATAATTTAATTTTTATTAAAAAAAAAAAAAAAAAAAACAAAAAAAAACCACTTATTTTAAATGTATAAATTTATCTAATATAAATAATTAAAATATGTAAATAATTTTATATAAGTTGTTAAGTAGTAGTCACCTGTTATGTAGTTGATGCTCAAAAACTAAATAAATAAATATTGTAATGTCCTAAACATTAGTATTAAACCACGATTTCGAAATATTCTAAAAGAGAGAAAGAGAGTTTATTAATTATACACTACTCGTATAACTTATGTGTACCGACGCGTAGGTATAGTATACACTATACAGTATAATACACAATATAATATATATTGTAAAAACTTTATGTGAATATTATTACAGCTTAGTGTAAAAAAAAGAAAATCTTATTTTTTTAAAAAAAAAACCGTAATAATATTATAACGTATAATAACTGTTTATGCGTATTTTGTGTGCTCGAAATTCACACGGGTGATGTATAAATATAATATAGTTTGTATTATATACTATATAAATACCGTTATTATAAAAATTAGGCCTATAGGTATTTAAGATGTATGTAATTTAAAAAAAAAAATTATTTTACTATACCACCCTCCTCTTAAAAAATGTGTGCCACAGTATAATTTAGAATTACCAAAGAGGTATGTGCATAGAATAAGTGCATTTTACATAATATAGAAATGTATTACTTTTATTTAAACAAATAATATCCAACTGAAGTGTTAAATAATTAAAAAAATATTTGATATAAAATTTAATCAAATCATAAGCACTTGCTTTTTTAAACACTAAATAAAATTTCATTTCATATTTTATTTTTATTTGGTATATATTCTTAAGACAGTATAAAATCCAAGTATTTATACATATTGTATTTAAACACTTTTTTTTTAATTAAACTATTCAATAGAAATAATATTATATCAAAGATTGATATCTAAAATTTTTAAACTATTTAATTTATATAACTTAAAAGATTTAATACAATTTAATGGTAATTATAACATAATATAATGTATTCACTATTCTTCATTATTCAACGTTACGTTTATTTAACCATGTAAATGTTTTTTTTTTCACTAACCATAATTTCCAAACATTTTTTTCTAAATTATACGTTCTATTTTTTTATTATTATAAATTCTTTTTAAATGTTTAACAATTTAATATAATGATTTCGTAAAATTATCACCATAACCATATTTATTTTAAAGTCACTAAAAATATGATTTGAAAAAATTAACGATCACGGATGGCCAAGATCTTTACAATAAGTTCCTATACACGTTTTATAATTTTTTTTTTTTACCATATACCAGCACATAATTGCATTGTGGCGCACCTACATAAAGCGTAGCACATAAAAAAAAATAAATAAAAATATATGCTCTTTGGGTTGATGAATTCCACGTAGTCGGATATATCAGTGAAATCACTTTATCACGACTGTTTTATTATACTTATTATATTATAACGTCACGGCGACGGGGACGTTGGAATGAAATTACTGAAAATAAAACGCGAAAGATTCAAACGGTTATGTATATTATGATTATGATTATTATTATTATTATTATTATCATCATCATACGTACTCGTATAATAATAATAATATGACATGCGTAGTGCGTACGTATACGAGGTAGGTAGGTACTATCATTATATTATCGTCACGTGCGCCGCGGGGTTCGCAGTCGGGTTTGACACGCGACGACCGTAAAGTATATACGTCCGGCCGGCGCCCTGACGATGACGGGCCCGCAGGGGATGTGATCTGGCAAACGCGAACTTGTGCGATAATAATAATATTATGTGCATAGGCTAACCGGGAGACTGCGACTGCGACGAAAACAACATCAACAACAACAACAACAACAACAACGAGTTATGGTATTTGTGTGTAACAAACGGAAGCTGTGTACGCGTAACAGCGTGTAATGCGTTTAAACAGATTTATTTTTTTTTAATTTCTCGACGGCCACGTGCTCAGAATTGTACGCGTTTATTAAAAAATAAACACACTGCACATTATTATGTCGTATTATATCACAACCTGCAGCAAGTGTCGGCGTAACACTGTGTCGGCGACGTGGGTCGTGGATTTCACGTTCAGAAGTCTTTTGGTCATGTTTACGGCCCCTGCTACACTGCAGTCGATTCTAGTAAAAGGTTCACGTTTTTCGTTCCGATCAAAATGCTTTCCCCGTGTAAAAAATTACGCGTGTTAAAATATTGCGCGTATTGCTCCGAGTTGTATGCGTTAATCGCGAGCATTAAACGAGAGACGCGAGTGTGATACGACGGTGTTTTAATTGCCCGCTCAATAATTATTATTCTGTGCGGGGCTCGGTCGAAACTGACTGCTCTCGCTAAAAAAATTGATTACTGTATAAAACATAATATTATATAGGTACATGATTAATATACGCACAGATATTGCATCTAACCGATTGTAAAAAAAAAAAAAAAATAAAACCTATCGATCGATACAACAATGAGACGTGCATGACAGACAATATTGCAGAGTTATTATTCGTTTTATGGCATGTCCTAAGCTTAATTTGCATTTTGATTTAATATCGTATAATCATCTGCCATTTCAAATTAAATACTCCACGAAAACATTGCCGATATCACTTTTAAATATGACGTTAAACGATAAATCAATGTACAATAATGTGTACAATACCAATTCGTATCAATCAAATCTGTGATGACCAAATATGTGTCTCGTCGTCTCTTATGGCGTCTGTTCTATAAAACTAAAATATATAGTACATCACTGACGGCCGTAGGTTCTAAACATTCTCCTCATCCCCTTACGATCGACTCGGCAACCCCCCCCCTAAAATTTCGATTCGGCCACCACCGCTCACAAACGCCGCAGCGGTGCCCAACCTTTTTTTTCGTTCTGTACACCCTAAGTTTAGTATTTTGCTGGATTGTACCCCTCGTTATGATTTTTAAACTCTTTCAAACAGGTAACTACTTTTAAAACATTTAAATAAAAAATAACAAAAAGCTGTACGTTATATTCTATGCTCCATATCTATATTTGATAAGCCGACGGTCAAGTTTTAATTTGTGTGCACAAATTTTCATTTTTAATAACACGACATTATATTGGATATCTTCGAAACCAATCGTTTTAAATAAACGAATTCGATATTTTCCGCCATCGGTCAATTTTTTTTTTTTCACGTACCCCCCGAGATCGTCTCGCGTACCCCCCCCCCCCTCCCTCGGGTTGGGAACCGCTAGCATATCGTAATGCGGTTATAATAATATACGATCGGCACCGCACGTGGATTCTGCGCAACAGACCTCGTCTGGCGGCGGCTGTGTTGCTGGCGGACACCTGATGCAGCGCCGGAGAAAGGGAAAGCGTTTGCGGTCTGTCCTATGCCGCGCGGCTATGGTCGTTTAGCGATGCACTTAAGTACGTTTGTCCGCCGCGCTTCGAGACGCACGTCAACGTCCGCGCCACACGTTTCCGTACAACAGCCGCCGACGTCCGCGCAGTATCGTAGTAGCGTCGTCGTCGTCGTGCGCGCCGCCGCGGTTACCCGACCGTTTTTTACCGCGCCAAACTTTTACACCGTCCGCCTCGTCTCGCCGTGCGTTCAGAGTTCCGTATTTATTATTTTTTATTTTTTGGTATACCTATATTTATATATCGCGTATAGTTCGAGTGTTCGTCAAGTCTCAACGCGTGTACAGTGTTTCCGCGATTCGGTTCACATAGTGTTTTCCAGTTCCGCGTCACCGTCCTCCCGCAGTAGTCGGCGGGCGACGAGAAGACACATTCCATACAATATCGCTGTTCTCGCTCAGTGAGTAAATATTATTATGATTTATTTAGCGATTTGACGACTTTCGTATGCACCTTTTGTAGTATTTTCCGTAAAGTCGGACGACGATAAAATTGTCCAAATTATATTTTCTGATCAATTTACTACCATAGGGGCCATCCGTCGGTTGTGAGTTCACGTAGGGGGAATGGATTTAAGATGGGCATGCGGGAATAACATTTTTTAATTTTAATTCCGGTCTAGATTTTAAATATTTGTGGTGACATTAATATTAATTAATATTAATACTACTTAATGGTTTTATAATATTGTAATTATTAATAATATGTTTCAAATTAATTTGTTCAGTTAAATGAACAAATTAGTATAAAAAAACTAAGAGAGTAGGAAAATCTCCAACAGGGCTATGAAAAATTACTTATTTTAGCACTATATTATATCGTTAAACGTAGCGGCTATCACACTCGAGGAACTGTGGTGCGGAACTGTTATTTAAATCACTGAGGTAAAAATCATTCTGATGGTATCCACCCATATATCTTACACTGTCATAACATACAAAAGTACATACACTCTTCCATATTAAATGTATATTGTACACTTGATGAGTCAAGACATTTTTTCTGTTTAGTTTCAGAAAATGCAAATGCTCAATTCCAACGTTACACTCGCCTGTTTGCTCAATAAAAAATACTGCAGAATTTACTGCACTTAGAATTAAGAATAAACACTACTTATCTCTACTTTTATTTATCTGTGAAATGATTTTTTTTTTTTGGTTAGCCGTAAATCTTACTGTCTCCATAATTTGAAACAATTGCGTGAGCTTGAATTTCATTCGGTATGGAAATCAAAGATTACTATTATTAAATCATTATTATTATTATAAGTATAGCTCTTACAATCTATAACCGTATATAGGTACCTACATATGGCCATATGTGTATGTTACAATAGTAACATGTTTATGCACAATTAAACAATTGTATTACGTACAATATTTTCTCATAAACCATAAAAGAATTATGTAGACTAGTTTATTTATATTTTTTATTTCCATTTCACACGTTATACCAACAACTATTTTAATTCTATTATTCTAATTTCTTATTTTTTTTTCTACAAATTAATTTGTTACTCTTTCGTTTTGTAAAATCAAAATTTTTAATTAAAGAATTCTATTCACTTAGCCGTTAAACAATATTAAAATAATACGACATTATGCAATATCTTTCAGAAAAATTTACTACCATCTTATTTTTTTAATGACGTAGTACGAATTCGTTACTTTTTTTAAAATTTATTGAATCCTTTTATTTTTATTTAAAAGTTTTATACTTTAATATTGACTTTTATTTGTTTTTAAACTATAGCACAACTTAAATAGTATTTAACGATAAAATGATAGTTAATTTATACAAAATATATGCATGTAAATTATAACTAGTTAGCAAAACATAAAATATCTAATGAGTAAAATAAAATACATGCGTGTAATTTATTTAATTACTGTAAATTCTACGTGTACATATGAAAACTTTCATCACCCCGAATAAAAATAAAAATAAAAACTGTTATAGTATTACATTTTATGTTTGTAATAGTACAAAAAATAATAATAAATTTACTTTTATTTCCTATGTTATTTCATGTAAATTTTTAAAAATTATTTCCTAAGAAATGGTTTGGCACTGTAATGCGTATAACAATGTAATAAATAAAAAATGTCATAATGCGTCTTACGTTTAGAATAACTATATTAAGTGAGTACTCTTAATTCTATAATACCTTAATTTACAAACCTACTTGTGCATTAAAAATACAAATTTTAATTTTTTCTAATCTTATTTCACGATGACATTGTAAAGTATAAAATAAAACGTTTTATGAATTTTTTATTAAATTTAAATTAGTAAATTTAACTTTTTTAATTAGTACATGACTGATTTAAACGATTTTACTGTTTTAATATCCACTTCTGTCTTTTTCTATTATAATTGTAATTAAAATTTATTATACATGTTTTAATACAAAATAATAAAAATTAAAAAATTAATTTCTGTCAGAAATTCTGGGTTCTTTAAATTCAAAAACTATGATACATTATTATACTTGAAAAAAAAATATTATAAATAAATATTGAATTAATAAAAAATAGATAAAAATTACATGTGTATAGGTATGGTATTTTAAAATATTTTTTAAAATTTTTTTTTTGATTCTAAAATATTTTTAAAAATTTAAATTCATGTTGAATTTTCGGTATACAGAACTGCAACATAAATCAAAATGTCTGGAAAACCTTGAAGGTGTAGAATAAACTTTTCCCCCCCACCAAACATATCGTATATTGTCAGAAAAAAAAATTGTATACCTACCTATGAATGTAGGCTATTGTTATCTTCATTTTTAGTTTAATTGATCTAAGAAAAAAAGTGTCATCTAATTTTAAATTTAATTTATTTTTAAAAACGACTATTCAAGTAAAATGTAACTATAATTTTATTATTTTAATAATTTGAATATTTAACACTGTATATCAATATGTAATACACGTTTTTCTTTTGATACGCATGTACATTTTTTCACACAATAATTTGAGCAGAGTATACTTTAAATAGAACTAAGTTTTAAGACAATTCGTTCGTTAGAGCATTCTACAAAAGATTCTTAATGAATAAAGACTAAAATATAGTTTTTGAGCTTTTTAGTTTTAAAACTTTTTCTGTTGTTTTTAATTACATCATAATTTTAAAAAATCTAGAAAGTTTTCTTTCAGTTACTTCTTTGATTTTGTCATAAATAATACATTATGGCCAAACTTCGAGTTATATCCAACTAATATCTGAAGAATTATAAGTGAAAAGAAGATTTTTGGTTACAAATTATTTAGAATTTGTTTAAGCCGTTGATTATGCATTTATATTCAATAACAATAAAGATAGGTACTATTGGAAGATAGTTACCGTTTTGCTTATTATCTATTGTATTTTTTTCTTTTTCATGTAGTAAATGATTTCGTAATAATTAATTTTCCGCATTATTCTTATGGCTATTGTTTTTTTTAAATTTTATTTTTTTTTAATTTACATGCTTACAACTCGATACCTGAACATACTATCGAAATGTTACTCGTGGGAGGGACAAATCATATAATAAGTAAACTCAATGTTTTCACTGATATAATATTATAATTTATGCAAATCTTATGCGATATTGTCTCAAAGCCTCAACACGTAGCAGTTTACGCATTAAACTGCACTGTCCAGTTCAATTATAAATTTAACAGTGCATAATAGTGTTATATCGTTAGTATATTTATATATTTACAGCTACCGTAAGACGTATTTTGTATTTGTGGCTTGTGCGTGCGTTATTCACAACCGATGAACCTCACTCATAATTCATTTGAAACAAAATATTACTATTATTATTATTAATAATATCGTTATATAAATCGCGCACACGGTATTCCGTGATGGTCGTGAACTTTAACACTGCACCGACAACGAAGATAGCGATGACGTGTGACTTTCGTAAAACAGGAAACTTATTATCGATTGTAAACATACGATTCAAGAGAATAGTCAATAATAATAATAATAATAATAGTTATAAATAGTTATGTAATAATTGGACACACAGCAAACGGTGGCCGCCGGTGGGCAGACGATGAGACTGGTTACCTATACGCGAGTATATCGCCTGTAGGGGTCAATCGGATTGCCGGTCAGGTGAAAGTGTATCCTTGGATTACATCATTATTATATTATATATTTTGTTTCCCCCCTTGAAAAACTTGCACGTACATTAAATATATCTATGTCTATATCTACATATAATCGTAAAACCAGGTGACCTCGATAGAATCAAATTACAACGTTATCGTTCCAATTGTCATTCGTATGTGACGCAATTTCAGAAAATCGTATTAAGCACATTATATAGGTAGTAAACGGTCGGCGACGACTACGACTAATAACCGAATAATGTAGCGTATTACGAAAACAATCGAAACAATGTATGTATAATATCCGTGTGATTTGTGCAGGTGCCGAAGGGAGGTTTGGACATTATGTAAAGACAAATCGCTGCAGAAACACACGTGCATTAGGTCAGAGTGGACAATGTGTATCGACGGACACGCCAGGGATTCGTTAACTGCTACTTTTACACCTACAACAATCCAAAATTCAGGTATTGCACTTTTACGCGTCTGTAATAATTTGTTAAATGGTGTAAATATTACAAAAATACGGCCGGATAAGTAACTGGCAAATTTTATTTATTAGATGCACTCCAAAAATACAACAGACTATTTGATTTGTTATGATATTATATGATAATAATTATTATTATTTTTTACTCGTTCGATAATTTTATCATGAGGCATTTTTTTACTATTTTAATAATTTAGCCTAATACGGGAAACTAGATTTATGACACCTAACCTAACCTATGATAAGATTAAATAATTAAGTCATAATGAACTATACTGTAGGTATAATATTATTTTTTTCAAATACTTTGAAAAAAAAAATAACAAAATTTAAAGAGCATAGACTTAATAGCGGTGGTAAAATGTATAATTTATTACATAAAAATGTATGTTCACCGAAAAACTATTCATCGATTACATTTGGCATAACATTATAATAATTGGTTTTAGAAACCATATCTGCAAGTAATGGCAGTACTGTGACCACACGCAGCGGATATGATATTCGCTTTAATTGCGGCCGGATCAGCTTTAAAGACTGGCCTGACTATTGTTGGGACCAGCGTATGGATGATACCGGTCTTGATAGCCGCTATGGCTTACTACCGGTATGACATTTATGATCCCGAGTCACGACCGTTCAACCAGAAAACACTCAGGTTGGAATACGACTTTATTGTGATTGGTGGTGGATCAGCAGGAGCTGTCGTCGCTAGTAGGCTATCGGAGGTATGCAATATAATGTCACTAGAAATTCGGTATTATTTCAAACATTAATTTTTATTTGTAATTAATTTCACATCAATCATTAGATCGGACACTGGAGTGTATTGCTATTAGAAGCTGGTCCGGATGAAAACGAACTGTCCGATGTTCCTTCTTTGGCGGCCTATCTTCAATTATCTCGTCTAGACTGGCAGTATAAAACCGAACCAACGGGTAAGACCAATGATCTATACTCGTATCTATGTATATATGTATAAATATAATATTACAATATTTCTGTTTAATAAATAATCTCTTAAAATTCAATTTGATAAGAAATATTTAAATATATATATATATATATATAATTATATACACTTAAGTAGGTGTACAATTTATGTTACGATTAGGCAATGGTTGAAGAATTTATTTTACAGCGACAAAAACCAACAAATTTGGTATCGATAAGAACATTTGTAAAATGCAAATTTATAACACTAATTTACATGTAATGGTTTTGTCTAGTATTCTTTAACGGAACTAAGATCTAATACCAATATAATACAAGAATATTTTGTTATAATTAAATTGTAAATCTGTTTTTAGGGAAAGCATGTTTGGGCTTAAAAAATGGCCGATGCAACTGGCCCCGCGGTAAGGTATTGGGTGGGTCTAGCGTGCTGAATTATATGTTATATGTCAGAGGCAACCGGTATGATTACGATGGGTGGCGCGACTTGGGCAACGAAGGATGGGGCTACAGCGATGTATTACAATACTTCACTAAATCGGAGGATAACCGTAATCCATACTTGGCCAGGCCCGGATCGCCGTATCACCGAGCGGGTGGTTTACTGACTGTGCAAGAGGCTCCGTGGAAAAGTCCATTAGTGTTATCGTTTGTTGAAGCCGGCCAGGAAGTGACGGGTTACCCGAACAGAGATATCAATGGCAAATATCAAACCGGGTTTATGGTCGCACAGGTAATTAATAAATAACATGACTTTTAAATACTTACGTACGATGCTTACTAAGTTGTTAATATTATAGTCATAAATATTGAAATTTTAAAATATCGATTATTTGATTATTCAATGACCAATACACATTTACAAATTTATAAACACTAAATAAAAATGTTAAAAAATCGATCGTAAATATATTTTTTTTTTCTAATCTAACATACGTTGACATTTTAAAACCCTAAACAAATAAATAATCATACTAAAAACTAGTTTTTATATTTACGTACATATCATTATTTTCGATTTTCTATTCTGTACAGGGAACGATCCGGAGAGGTACGCGGTGCAGTACCGCCAAGGCTTTTCTCAGGCCAGCTAGGCTCAGGCCTAATTTGCATGTGGCCATGCAAGCTCACGTGACCAAGATTATCATCAACCCAGCCACAAATCGCGTGACAGGCGTACAACTGTTGCGGGATGGCAGGGTGCATTTGGTGCGTGCGAAACGGGAAGTTATCCTGTCGGCGGGCAGCATCGGAAGTGCACAATTAATGATGCTTTCCGGGATCGGACCCAGCGAACACTTGCAACGACTAGGGATTCCCGTGCTGAAGGACCTGCGCGTTGGCGACAACTTACAGGATCACGTAGGAATGTTCGGATTGACGTTCATCGTAGACAAGCCCGTGGCCATAATACAAAATCGACTGAGGGTACGTAGGAAATTTGTGTATTTATACGGCGAATGCGCGTTTTCTATGAATTATTGTTATTATATCATTTATTTCCTAGTAAAAGTTTAGGCATTCATGATTCGTGCCTAAATGTAACCTATAATCAGACCAAATCTACAATACCTATAATCATGAATTACTTGGATGTATATACAACATTTGTACTAGAATAATAATTATTATACTCTCAACGGTAATATGAATGTTTTGTTCGGATTGATATCGATGTTAATTGCTAAGAGAAAAGATTTTTTTCATAATTTTAATAGTTATTCAACATTTATGTATTCGATTTCGTCTCATTCTAAATTATTATTTTTTATACATTTATTATCGATTTAAGAAAATGTTATATAATATGGTTATTATAATAATTGATGTTATGTGTTCATAATGTTCATATAGTGACTAAAATCCTCATGAATTATGCAAAATAAAAAGCAATCTTGTAATAATCCTACTATTTTTATTTTTATTTAAAAAGTAAACCTAAATATATCGTATGAACGTATGGTACTAATCATTTTTTCGACAACTATTTTTGAAAAAAAATCTTACAGTTTATCAATATTATTATTACTTACTATTTAAATAACATATTTGAACACAAACATTTTTAATAAGTTGAAATTTGACCCAAAATATCTTATTTTTATTATTTATACTATATAATAATTTATAATTTTTTATTGATAAAATTCTTTAGTGTATTATATTTATCATATCCTATAAATAATGCTATAAAGTATTTATTATCAATGCTAGTAAATTAGTTAAATATAAATATTTACAAAATAAAATGTATCTTATACTATAAATAACATAAAAAAAAAAAAATAATAATAATAGAAAAATATATAAATCAATAAAATAGTTCTATTCAATTATTGTTTCATATTATTTTCTATTATTTTTTTTAAATATATAATAGGTATATTATATTTTAAGTGTTGGTACTTAAACAACAAATTAACACTAAATAAAATGTTTAGCCAGTTCCTGTAACTATGGAATATTTAACTCGAGAAAATGGGCCGATGACTACGCTCGGTGGTGTTGAAGGACTTGGATTCATTCCTACCATTTATGCCAACAACACAGAATACCCAGACATTCAATTTCATATGGCACCAGCTAGTATTGCTTCAGACGATGGCATTAAAGTACGAAGAATCTTGGGCGTTCAAGATTCCATATACGATAAAGTTTTTCGTCCAATAGCCAAAAAAGACGCATGGACCATCATGCCACTTTTACTTAGGCCAAGATCTCGAGGAAGTATTAGACTTAGATCTAAAGATCCAATGGTTTATCCTTATATAGACGCCAATTACTTTGACGACCCTCTAGACATAGCAACTCTGGTGGAGGGTGTCAAGTTGGCAGTAAAAGTGAGTATTGGATCGATGTCAAAAATAACACAACAATATGTTTCATCGGATCGTTACTGATTGACCGATAATTAATTTTCGATTTAATGATTTATTTTACACACAGATTGGCCAAGGAAAAGCTTTCAGACAGTACCGTTCACGACTCCATCGAGTACCTATACCAGGATGTGCGCGGTTCGAGTTCGGCTCCGATCAATACTGGGAATGTTCCATCCGTCACTTCAGCATGACCATTTACCATCCAGTGGGCACGTGTAAGATGGGACCACCTAGTGACCCGACCGCCGTAGTGGACCAAAGGCTCCGTGTGTATGGCGTGCAAGGTTTACGAGTGGTGGATGCGTCGATAATGCCTACCATCGTCAGCGGTAATACGAACGCGCCGACAATAATGATCGCTGAAAAAGCATCAGACATGATCAAACAGGACTGGCTTTCAAATAATATCCATTACCACGGTTGAAGAGCCGTAGTTGATAAGGACCAAATATTCGACTTCGACAATATGCCACTACACAATATTTTAGTTGTGCCATTTCGCATTTATTATGTGCTTACCATATACAAATATTGCTATAATATTATACTGTATCAAATTGTGTTACCATTTTTACTGTACATAAATATTAAAATGTTAATTTTTTGTGTTGAACTATATCATTAATACTCGTCAACAGCTAGATTTTTATGCTATAATAATATGACAAAATAGTACCTATATCAACATTTTCATAAAATGTTCTTAAATAATAATTAATGGATACTAAAATAATTCACTTTAAAATTAAAATTTAGATATACTGCCCAAAGTATAAACGAGTAAATATTGCATTATTAAATAAAATCTCATTTAGTAAATTAACAATAGATAATAAAAACCATATAACTTATCCAAGTCATCACCATCTGTATTTTATAATAATTCTCTATTTGTGTTTGTTTTTGTGTGGTTGATTTTCTAATATTTTTTAAACTACCCATTGAAAAAATATCCAGTTATATTCTATTTTAAATATAAAAAAAAATCTAAGCCCAAAAAACAAGCATAAAATAGTTATGTAGGTACACTCAATGTGTTTTTTTTTTTTTTTGATGGTCATACAACAAGCAAAATAATAGTGAATTCAATTTATTATTAAAAATTTAGTAATTATAAATCAAATCTATTAAAAACTAATCAACTAAGTACATAATATATCTTTTATAACTGTCATTTACTGCTTGCACAATAATACTAATACCTAAAATTGCGGCATTATTTCAATTTAAAATTAATTACGATTTAGTGAAAGCTATTTTTACGAATGTATAAACATTAATTTGGTAAATTTTACACAAGCTATTTATGTTTTATTATTTCATTATTAAAACAAAGTTATATTTACCAATTATTATTTAGAAAAAAATAAAAAATAATAATAAGTAGGTAATAACTATTATGACTGAATATTAATTAATTGTAAATTTAATTTTAATTATCTATACCATGATCTCCTATAAATATTATTGTAATATCAAATTTATATTCTATATTATAACATTATGTATGTTGTACCTATTATTAGCTACTCTGCATATTTATTTCTATTGTTTTAATCTTTTTACAAATATCTTAGTTGTATAATTGTATTGATCAAAAATATTTCTCATTAAGTATAATACATACTGAATAAATTTGAATACATTTCATGGTATTAATGTATAATATTTTATGTTATTTATAAACAAATAATACAGATGCTTTTGGTTTTTTTTGATTTTTTTTCTTAAGACAGTATCAATGTATATCATTATTTTAATAATCATATATAGTTTATTTAAATTGATACGATAAAATATAAACTAACAATATTCGATTCATTTTTAATTACTTTTTAAGCTAATATTTTTATTAATAGTTTTTCTCAGTTTTTCTCAGTACCTATTTTTTATATAGTTTATTTTTCCAAGTAATTTTAAAATAATATGTATCATATTGATTATACATCAGGAAAACCAATTAAATCCATTTTGCTATTTTTAAGAAAAAAATAATTTATTAATACATAGAAAAAATTTTTTTGAAATAAAAAGTAAATAAAATCTTTAAAATAAATAAAAAAAAAAAAATGAGCAAATTAAATGATGCATTTATAAGAAATAGTTTATAGTACAGAAAATGTTTATAGGTAACTTAACATTTTATTTTTGTGAAACTAAAACATGTCAATTAAATAAAATATTAATCAATGTATAGTATAATCCTTTAGACAAATTTATACCCTTGTCCTACACATTATGAGCATCATGTACAATGACATTTAACTAGTATGTAATACGTCATAGCTAATTTTTTGGACTTTCAAACATTTAGACAGATGTAATGTACTTATAATAATTGTTTATTATTATTAAAAAACAATTAATATTAATAATTAAAGGTTTTACTGTTTAAACTTGGAATATATTATTAGAAATATAAACATAATATCATAATATGAATAATTGGGTCGCTGTAAAATTAAAGTTTATTTAAAAAAATAATATTTATATAATTCTAATTCATGTAATATTGTATATACTGTGTAATCGGTTGTTGGAAACACTCTATAACTTAACAAATATTTAATATATTTGAATTCTGTTTGTTTGTGGTGCTTAACAAAGTTTTTTATAACTTATTAAAGCATTCAAACAATTTTTATGTCATATAATTTCGCGCATGCGCATAACATCTTTTTTTTTTTTAAATGGCAATCCCACTATTTTTTGGCTAACTATTTTTACTCTTATTTTTTTATAAATTTTAATGGTGAAACCAACTTCCTATGTTAAAAAATAGCCGAGTTATGGATACTTGAATGATTGATATTATTTTTTTGACATTTTTGAAATATTCATCAATTTCATGGCTTAAATTTTTAACACCTCATGATATCTTCTAGTGATATTTTTAGTACCTACTTTTGGGAAGGATCCTCTTCCCCTATAGCAACTAATTTTTTTTTAAATTTGTCTCCTTAGGCGATTTAAAAAAAAAAAAAAAAACATTATTAATTAATTTTATTTTTATTAGTTGAAAATTAGGTACATTCAATTACTTTCATT